TCCTCCCGAAACGGGGCACGAACCCGCGTCTCCTGCATCGGCAGGCGGACTCTCAAGCACTGCGCCACCAGGGAAGCCCAAGGGATGACATTTTTTAATGTGTTCATTCTACTGGATTTGTCATCTCTACCTTTCCTAACTCTTTTCAATAACTGCCAGTTCTTCTATAAAATAATCCATATGGTTGCCTCCCTTTATCTTTCAGATATTTAAACTGTCATATTTTCCTACTGATTCTTTTGCATATTTTTATTTCAGCAAAGTCACTAATTGTGCTGTGATACAATCAAGATATTCACATCAAGTATGTTCTGTATCTTTTTTCACCTCTTTATTGGTTTCCTACTGATTCTGTTTCCTTGCCTAGGACACCCCCATTCGTCAGCAGACGGCTGTCCGTAGCACTGTCATCATTACTAGGGTCACTGTGATGTCCATTCCTGTTAAAGGCTCTGCCCTTACACCCCCGGTCTTTCCTAGAAGGCTTCTCCCGGGGCTGTCCTGGGAGTCAGGCTGACCAGGGGAGACTGCTGCAGCTGCTCTGCCCCGTGCTGCCCACCGCCTCAGACTTAGCATCTGCTCACAGCTGTGGCCTCAGGGATGGCCCAATGGGACCCTCACACTCTCACGAGGGTGGACACCCATGGCTGACAATCGTGGACTGAGTCTGTTTCACGCCACACAGGGGAGGTGGTTTAATGCTGACCACGGGCTTGGGGCAGTGAGCAGAGCTCTCCCAGTGCCCGTCCAGAAACGCGGGCAAGTGGGGCCACAGCTTCAACCTTCACCGGGAGCCCTGACCCCTCCCTGCCTGTGAGGACCTGGGTCCCTCTCTCTGTCCACACTGGTGGGAACCTCCTCCCTATGACCCCCTTGATGATCCCGGCCAGCGGGGGCCACCAGCCTAGCTCCCTCTTCTTTGGTCTGGTTCCCTCTCCACTTGGGGAACTTTCTTTCTCTTTCTCTGCATGTGTCTGTGGGTACGTGTTTCAGAAATATTCAAAATAGCATTTCTCAGTGTTAGGAGCAGAGGAGGGCTCTTAGGTGGGCACCACAATCACCCACTTTGCCGTGGAGTCTGAGCCCAGGATCCTTTCATGTCCCATCCACTGCTATTGCCACCTGCTCTGGAAATTAACAATGGTGATCGTGCAATGAACCTGACACCATTGAGCTCACAGCCACTCTGAGGAGTGGGGCTCGTGACAACATGCAGAGGAGGAAACTCAGGCTCAGAAAGGGCACTGCCCTCACGGTCACAAGAGCAGTGGGGACAGATTTAAATAGAGATGTTTTCCTTCAAACTGAGACCTCTAACTCAAATCAAGGTCCCCTTAGCTTCCAGGCAGGATGACAGGACGGGGAGGACGGAGCCCTGTCCAAGGATCAAGGGGCACCGAGGAGGAAGGAACGACTCAGGGGCTTGCTCCCAGGAAGGTGGGGTGGAGGCTGTTTCAAGAAAAAGGGAGAAGTCCCTGAAGGGGGCTGAGACACAGAGCAAAGCCACACTCTGGGGCCAGGGGAGCAGGCATGTTTCCTTCCTTATTTCCCCGAACTTCTCCTCTGTGCTCACCGCCACACTGACCTCCACGGAGCTGTAGGCAGATGTTAAACGTGTGTCTCTGCTGATCTGAGCTCCGCGGTGCAGCAGGAACCTGCATCCTCCCTGAAGCATCGCCAGGGCCTGGGGGACCCCTGTCCATGGTGAGGACCCCACAGGGACCTGCTGATGGACCCGGCTGAGGACGAAGGAGACCCAACGGGGAGGCTCTGAGAGGGAAGGACGTGCTCGGGTCACCCTCACCTGGAAGGGGCGTCTCAGGAAGACACCGGGTCTGTCATGGGAATGACAGCCAGGCTCCTGGGGAGGGGCAGTTCCCCTTCCTGTGGGGCTGCTGACGTGACAGCCCCGTGACGGGGAGAACCAGCCTCCCAGTGGACACACCCTCGGGTCTCCGTCCTGAGGGCACCGTGGTCTCCTCTATCTGCACCGCCTGGACCACAGGGACGAGACGCCATGACCCCCAGCCTCACGGCCCTGCTCTGCCTCGGTGAGATGGAGGAGGGGGAGGGGAAGCCCCAGCCAGGGAGGGACCCCTCCCCACAGCCAGGCTGCTCTTTAAGGAGACCCCAGGACTCAGGAGGCTCACGGGTAGGAGAGGCGCTGCTCAGGATTCAGGGCGAACCTCTCACAGGGGTCTCTCTTCCAGGGCTGAGTGTGGGTCTGAGGACCCAGGTGCAGGCAGGTGAGTCTGTCCCCAGGTGTCCCAGCTCCCTCCTGCTCATGGGGACAAGGGGCCCACCCCAGGCAATGGGGTGGGGAACAGCAGTTCTGGGCTGAAGCAGGGGGAGTCTGGGAGGTTGGGGGCTGAGAGCTGGGGACCGTGGGGTGAGGATGTCTTGTGACCCAGCCTCTGATGTCCTTCCAGGGACCCTCCCCAAACCCACCATCTGGGCTGAGCCAGGCTCTGTGATCCCCTGGGGGAGCCCCGTGACCATCCGGTGTCAAGGGACCCTGAGGGCCCGGGAGTTCCATTTGGATAAAGAGGGAAGCTCACCTCCCTGGGAGAGACAGCCCCAACTGGAGCCCGGGGACAAGGGCAAGTTCTCAATCTCACACATGACACAGTCCTACGCAGGGAGATATCACTGTTACTATCGCAGCCCCACTGGCTGGTCAGAGCACAGTGACCCCCTGGAACTGGTGGTGACAGGTGAGAGGACACTCGGGGGTCCCAGCCTCAGGCTCTGCCCTCAGGAAGGGGGTCTGCTCTCAGGGGTGTGTCACTCTCACAGGCCAGCCCTGGAGGAGGAAAGGGGGGTGTGAGCCCCATTTCACAAGCTCCCTCTTTCTCTCCTAGGGGCCCACGGGAAACCCACCCTCTCAGCCCTGCCGAGCCCTGTGGTGACCTCGGGAGGGACCGTGACCCTCCAGTGTGGCTCATGGGAGGGACTGGACCGGTTCATTCTGACTAAGGAAGGAGAACCCAAGTCCTCCTGGACCCTGGATGCACAGCGAGGCCCCCAGGGGCAGACCCAGGCCCTGCTCCCCGTGGGTCGCGTGCCCCCCAGCCACAGGTGGATGTTCAGA